ATCAAAGGAAAGCAGACACAAACACATGAAAGAAGTAGCAAAAAACCTTCAGATATTCAAGTGCAAAACCAAAACTGACGTCCCAGAATTTAGGGCAAAACAGTTTGATCTGGCAAACAAAGACGACATGCACACAAATAATACATTAAATGAAAAGAAGCACAATACTTCACAAAACTTCAGATCACAGAGGGCATAGATATTAAATAGTTACAGGTAAGTGTACTGTGGTAATGCATTTAAGAGTTACAAGAAGAAAATTAGAAAACTAAGAATGTGACCAACAAGCATTTGAATATATTAGTTCATTATGACTGCAAAAAGTCTGAAATATACGTGCATTACATATGTACATACACAGAAGACAACTCAAAACCAGAAGTAATTCCATATTAAAACTTAGATTACTATTTAACGACAACAAAAAGTACTTTATTAAGATTCTTACAACATTCAGACCCACAGAGAGTGCTAGGGTTTTAGGATCTTGACAGCTTCATGACACAAATGAAGAAAAACAATAGTGCATTATCTGAATATTCAACACCAACAGAACAGACGATTTGGGGATATAGGCATCATACAGTGACCCCAAGACACAAGGTCTGTCAGATGCATTACAGTCTTAAACAACACAATAATGTTGAGAGGATTTTTTCCCATTTTAATGGTTAGATAGATTTCCACTTTGTGAAACCCGCTTATCTTCTATCTTTACACAGCGACACACCATCATCATCAATCATTGTGGAGATAAGACACAGTGAAAGGTATTTCTAAATATCCTATCTAAAGTCAGTCCAGGGTAATGTGACTATCCAAGATTTCAAGCCCCTTTTTTCACTGGGTAAGCTGCTTGAACACAAGTGTATTGGGAAAACTGATACATACTATGTTCCTACACACACTAATTCCAGGCATAGGAAATACACTAGTAATGTATCAAGTTGGGACCAAACACGAGTCAATTACAGCAAAATAACTCAAATTACATAAAATGACCTAAGACAGGCAGATTAAAATAAACCCAGTTACAGTACTGAACTTTGCTTTTGATTACTCCAATAACCTTGGCTGAGCATAACTACTTCCACTATTTAAGTATATAATCCAGATTTTCCCTCTCAACCAGTAGATGTCTACCAGAAAGTTAAATCTGAGTTTGTAATACAAGTAACTAGATGCAGTTAACATTCCCAAAATTTGCATTAGCTTCTTGATCAGCTTCATCTCTCTCCAACCTGTACGGTCCAGTTATTTAAAAATATTTCATGAAACAGTATCTTTAAAAAACAAAAAAAAATTATACAAATTGATGTAAAATCTAAACTGAGGATTACTGCTTCTAGGATCTGCTCAACAGCTTGAGCCAGTCACAAACAAAGGGCTGGAAGCTGCAATGCACTATCAGAGAGCTGGTTCAAAAACCTGATTTCATGAGGAGTGGTCAAGATAACTGAAAGAGAAAAACCAAACAAGCTACTCAATAATCCTGACACTGAGACCTTCTTGAAGAGGTGAAACACACAAGAGGGAAATAAGATTTTTTTTCAATCACCTGAGTAGTCCAGAATTGAACAGAATTTAAAGCCTTGATCTATTCTGTAGCCTTAGAAAGCATTTGTAAGTGAATGACAGACATAAGATTTTTAAAGCATTTCCCCTATCAGCTTTGGTCCACACACATTGAATGACTGATAACCAAGAACGTTATAATTGTATTTTATTTATTCATAGGATTTTAAAGAGCCTTACTGCATAAATCTTCATACAGTATCATCACACAGGATATATAGTTTCATTTACATTAAATATGTACATGCTTCTTCAATTAGCACATCTAGAAATAATTACCTAACATTAAAAAAAGCATTCCTGATGCCTTTCCACTGCTTTGGATACACTAACTGCCAAAGCAAATGGAGGTATGTGACACTGTACAACACTGTCCTATAAGCACTAAAGTTTTCAGATGCTTCACTTTCCTAACCTGTGCATTTCAAGTGATACACCTTCCTTTTACTTCTGCAGTCCTGGAATTCAAAGGCAAGACATTTTTCTTCACTGCAGTTTAATAAACTTTATTGGAAAGTAGTTTGACTTTTAAGGACAAAGCCAATGTTACAACACTTAAAATATCAAAACAGTAACCTCAATAGAGTGTAGTGTATTAAACTGCCCTGAACTAAAGTCAATACTTGCAAATGGTAACATCACATGAAAAGCAGCACATGAATTAACCTTGGGGATAAATAACCTTGAATGTCCATATATGAGAGAAAACAGTACAGTACAAAAAGAAGAGTGTAAGTATATATTGTTTAAATAATTCTGGCCTATAAGAAATCATTTGGAAAAGCAATGAGATCAAGAAGAAAATCCTACACAGTATTTTTAAAGGAATCCACACATTAATTCCTTTCACATAAACTGGTTTTGCGATGTACAGTCTAAGATGGCACAACACATCATTTTTTCTCTTAAATTCTTTTAGGCATGATCGTTTTTTCTATAAAGAAAAAGCTCCAAACAACCACCAAACACATTTTATTCTGAAAATCAAAGTGCCCAGTATTTAACCTCCTAGAACATATATTAAGCAAATCTCACCGGGCAGTAAAAAGGAAGATGAGAGATTCAATACTGAGCCACTTGTCCTTCAAATGCTCTTTAGTCATTACCTTTACTACAGACAGCAGCAGCAATAATGCCTACACTTTAGTCACCTAACACTCTCCCTGACAAAAAGATTCCTACAGTGTCTTCTCATGTCTTTGATTTTTGGCAAAGGGATATAATTGAGCTCTGCAAATACCATTTTCTTGCGCCACTGAATTTTGCTCCTTGTTTGCAGAATTATAAACAATCTAACAATATTCTCTCCCCTAGTAGTCAAGAGAAGCAAAAAAAATTCCCTTACTGCAGGCTTGCTTGTTACAGCCTGGTCTGGGCAGACAGTCTGAGATGCCCTAGCAATTCCCCCAGCACTGGAGGATCCTACAGACCAAAACTCAGATGCTGCCAGAGAACTACAAAGTTTGGGAAGGGCTACAGTCTCTGCCTGTTGTTGGGGCAGCATCCTTTTGGGGCACAACACTGTGGGAAGGAGCATTTTACTCTGGAACAAAGGTAAGATTCTTCCTGTTCCTATGACCAAGACATACATACAAACATGAATTATGAGAGCATCATTTCCACATCCACATACGTCACATTAGTAGCTGTTGTGCTAGTTACAAAATTGCCAAGTCTCACAAAAAAAGAGCCTCATTCTCAATTGCAGGAGATCCAAATCCCATCCATACTGCTGTCTGTAACACCCACCACACATACACAATCTTTTACACCACACAATGTATTATCTTCTAGCATACAACTCAAATAACTAATTTGGCCAAGACCACTCTGTACTACCCTCCCTGGGCATTAGTGTTCAAATGCCAATGCTTGACCACAAGTAATTACATTTGTCTGTGCCTGTCCATGCCCTACAACACATGACCCATTTGATACTATCTTTAATTAAAATACATGCTACTTTTCTATGGATTCCCAGTCTAATAGTGGGTGAAAAATAGATTATGTACTAGTCAATATAAAGAGTGAAAGTTATTTGCAACATTTGCCTCTGAAGTTAGAATGTATAAACTAAAAACAAAACCACAAAACCAAAAATGTCTGGGAAAGGTGCAAGTGAATACTGGGAATAATTTCTTATGCTTTAGAAAAGAGGTGAAAAAAATCTTTACAAATATAAATTCTGAACATTAATTCCTCTCGTCTTCCACGTGAAATACTAAAATATGGAGACCTAAGACCTAGAAGTGCCTGACTGCTCAACAGCAACAGTGTTACAGCAAAACACTGCAAGCGTGTGGAGAAGGGTGAGGAACAGCAAACACAGGTGTTGCCAGCTCCTTCCTTAGCTCCTCACACTGCATTACCTCAGAGAAGTCAAAGTCTCAGATTCTCACTCCATAAATTTGGCAGAGTAATCCTTCTTTATCTCCCAAACAATTGTAAAGCTACTTTTAGTCACTACAGTGGCTTACAACAAACGGGGAAATTAATTCCCTCTTATGCATCAGGTTTAGATGGTTTACCATTCACAAACAAGAGGTTCCATACCAGATAATTAAGGTAAAAGTGTAATGAGCACCTGTATGACACCTTAATCACCACTCATCTCATACTCGAGCCCAGGAGAGGTAATATGAAAAGGAGCAGCCAGACCCACCCTAACACCTACACGCGAAGCCAAGGGCCAAGGTCACGACCACCAGCCTTGGCCCCAACATCTCATGGTGCCGGGGAACTGATCCCATGCCAGGTGCTGCTCCGCACATACAGCACAGCAACCTTCACTACATCTCACACGCCCTTTTCACCCTCGGAAATTAAAAGTTATGTTCACCGAGCAGCGAGGAGGGACCTTAACCGGGAGCCGTGCCTTTATAAGGGCTCTGCGTGCGGTGTTCACGCCCGATACCCGCTCAACCAGTTTGCTGCCCGGGCTGGGCAGCACCGGCACGGGCAGGCCCAGGCACCACCGAGAACGAGCTTTTACAAATCGCAGCCTCCCCGCTCTGCACTTCGGGGCACAGCCGAGCTGCCGCCCGCCCGCCCCGGCAGCACCGCCGGCGGCCGGGGAAATCGCGGCGGCACAAAAGGCACCTCATGGCAAACACCTCCCGCACCACAAAGGGCACGGACGGGGCTCGCCGGGAGCCGCGGGCGGGACCCGCTCCGTGTCCCCTCAGGAGCAGCCGCCCGGCACCGGCACTGCCGCGGCTCCTGCCGGCAGCGGCCGCCCCATCCCTCGAGATGGCGGCCGGACCCGGCGGCACCTGCCAGGGAGCGACCCCCGCCTGACCCTCCTCGGAGCGCCGGCCCCGGGCGGCGACGGACGGGACGGGACGGTGCCGGGGGAAGCCGCCGGGATGCGGGCGGGGGAGCCGCCGTCCCCCGGCACCTCAGGGGGCCGCGGCCCCATCCCTTACCTGTGGCCCGCGGGTGGCTGCGCGCAGCCCCCGGCTCCGCCATCTTCCCCGCCGGTGCCGCCGCCGCCGCCGCGTCCCGCCGGGGCCGGCTGGGCTGGCTGCGCCCGCGGCCGCCGCACAGGCGCAGTGCCCGCCCCGGCACCTGACGGGGCGGTGAGGGGAGGGGACGGCAGGGGCGGGACGCGACCGAGCCCGCTAGGCGGGGCGGGCCCGGTACCCAGGTGGGGCCGCGCCCACAGCGCCCCGACCTCCGCCCTCAGCGCTCGGGCTGCGGGGCCGCGCTTGGCCAGGGCCGTGGCCGAGCCCCGCTTTGGGTTATCCCTGAGAGCCAAACAACGCGCGCTCTCCGGCTTTCCGGACGGATCCGGCCGTTCTCCCAGATTTTTCCATCCAGGTGTTTGCGTCCGCTGTTTGCAGCCTCGCGCGGCCTCGGATGAATCGCTGGCACCGGGGAAAGGCACAGCCGTGTCCTTCCCTTCCAGCTGCGGTCGCGGTTCCCCCCGCCGGGTCCCTTCGGGCCGGGCTGGCCCTGCAGCGGCAGGACCACTTTGTACTCGGTTTTAGCAGGGACAAATTAACATCATCTTTTTTTCTCCTCATCACTCACATACTAGTGGTTGAACTCCCCTCCCCAAAATTTTAACACGCACTTTGTGCGCTTCTCCTGCTCCCCCATCACTGGCTTTGCTGTTTCCGGGCCGTGTTGGGACCCAGCAGTGCTGCGGGAGCGCACACGGCCCCAGCGCTTGTGGCTTTCGGACAGCTCCTGCTCAAAACGTTGCCAGAACGGTGTTAGATGCCAAAAACCTTATTGACCCATCTTCATTGACTATTTACCAAAATTTAAGATATATTTAATCCTTCCACTTTTCATTCTTACTCCTTTTGTTTTCTTCTTTTTGCCAAGCAATTTTATTACCTTTATATTCTTTACCTGCAAGTACAGACCACAGTCAATGTAAGAGTAGGGAGAAGGACAGCATTTACTTTGGTATTCCTGATGTATCTCCTAGTAAATCACTATTTCCTAAGAGGCAATTATTCTGTTGGGGTGCTGGGAAACAGTACTTCCATCTACACATTCAAGTGTTTTTCTCATGTTTGGGCTCACACACCTCAATAAAAGTTTAGCTACACAGATCTGGTGCCTATAGTAATAATTATTTATAATGTTGCTTTATCAAAGAAATACTTAATTTTCACTGTTTATAACTGTCAAATTTTAAAGTGTCAAATGATGTTTTCATTTCAGCTGTTTTTCCTGCTAATCCTACATCAAGGGTCTCCACATATTATTCTACCTGTTTAAAGATTAAATTCCATAGTTTTGGTCATATTACAGAAGAAAAACCCCATGTGTCTTACTGTAGCTGTCTCTCCTAATTTCCAGGGGCTCCTTTGGCAACAAAACCAAAAGAAGGAAGAATCTCCTGTAATATTAATTAATCTTTAGCCTATTGCTGTCTGATGAACACAAGGGAAAGAACAGCTGGTCTCGATGCAAGATACATGGGCTTAGTGAGGAAAAGGAAACAGAGAGGATGAATTTCCAGGGCTAGGAAATAGGACAGCAGAGAATGGATGTGGGGCATGAAAAGATGGAGGATTATGGGCAGAAGCTGGAGAAAGGGGTATGAGGGTATTATCTGCAGGGTGGGTATTCAGGCAGTAGCCAGTGGCTGAGAGGACAGGGATGGATGAGGGCCCCGAGGAACATGAGCCCACCAATGCTGGCTCTCGAGTTCTCAAGTGGTGGTGAAGCCCATAAGCACAGCATGTCACTTGGAGAGAGAAGTGTTCTCCTACAAATGTAATTTCCTCTGATAGCTGGTTCACAGCATTCAGACTGGGAGTCATGCAGTGGAAAAAAAAAAGAAAAAAACCGAGAGATTTTAAAGTAAACTTAAGGAAATTATACAGAAAACATGAAAGCTCTGAAAACAAACCCCTCCCTTACACTATTGTATGTCGTTTGTGATATGAATCGGTTTTTAAATTACCTTTGCAGAGTGGTTTTTTCCACAAGACTCCCGCCTCATTCAATACAAGGATGTCCTTAATTAATGTGTAGTTCTTCAATGTTTGTCCTCATTTTCATCATGTAAAGTGGAATCTTTCATGTCATATTATCTGTACATTCTTCAAACCCTGCCTTGAAGGCAGGTTAATTAATTTCCATGATGACTTTCCTGTGGTAGTCTCATAACTCCTACAAAACATTCATAAATTTAACTTTGTAACAGCCTTCTAAGTTGAAGTAGTACTGTTATCATATTTTCCACACAGGGAAGAGCTAACAGAAGGTAATGTGTCTGGAGTTGTCTGTAGTGGTTTGCAAATTCTTTTATGTTGTGGAGGCTGGTAGGTTGTTTTAAAGCAAGGAATAGTGGATTTAATATAGTGTGCATCCACTAGCATCTCAGAAATAAAAGCATAACTGTTCTTGCTCATGTTTGACTTTAAATACTTTATAGATCTTTAAGCACTAGATGTAGTGGGTTACTTACAATCTACAAAGCTTTGATATACACTTACACCTGGGAGCCAGGAGCTAATTTCAGGCATGTCTGTGTATCCTTCTTTATGACAGATACAGGAACTCCAGGAAATTTTTTAATATTCAACCTTTTAAAAGGAAGTAATGAACAGTTTAATTTTGCCCATGCTTCACAGAACAAGATTATTTTCCTGACTATAGCAGCAAAAAGGGCCTTCCCAGCTGTCTGCATGCTTATCATTGGAGATGTCACCATGTTCCTCCCAAACTCTCCACAGCCCACCTTCCTTTAATGTTCCTTCCTATCAGCAGAAGGAAACCTAGAGGTTGCACATCACCAGGAGCAGTGGGAGGGTCCTCTTTTGAGTGGTAGGGGAAGTATTACACAACTTTTACACAGCCCTATAGCCTTTGGTAGCTGAGGGATGGGATTGGAAAATTTCTCCTCACCTCCTGGGCCAGGAGTGTGAATTATCAGTGCCTTCAAGGGCAGTGAGACAGCAGGGAGAAGCTGTGTGTTTGCTGGGCACTGCCAGCAGCTTCCTGGCATGAATTATAAAGCAGTGCGGGAATTTTCCCAACACACAAGTTAATCTCTGTAAGGCACATCACACTGAGCACTCCATTTGGGAAAGTGTTTATAGCAGACACTTTGGTTATTCTGCTTTCTTCATCTGAAGCCCAGTTTGTCCTGCTATGAATGAAGCTCTGGTAACACTTGTTCTAGATTGTATTTTGAAGCATTGTTCTTTTTTTTAAAGTGTGTTGTGCACTGTTAAAATCAACACCACTTTGGATTTCTCTTGTGGAAAACATTTTTCCTCTCATCATACATTTTCAGGAAATGCTGTACTTAAACAGGTCTGTGCAAATAAGCTATGGTAGGTGGTGGTCAACCTAAGCCTATTAAAACGTTAGAGGTAAATCTGTAGAGAAGTAAATTCTTAAAGTCAGTTCAGGGTGCAGACAGAAAAAAGCTGGAGAGACTGATAATTTTTCCACCGTAACAGACATTCAAATAAAAACTGTCAAAAGTGTAAACTAATTTTGAAAATCTTGGCTTCTTTTCTCAGTGCTTTTGAGATGGTGGTATCTATGCAACCAAAGCCTTCCCACCCTAGGAATGTTTCTGAGGGAAAACAGAACAGTCAGTCCTGAGCAAACTAGCCAAATTTACAATGTTGTAAGTCTATGTTGGTCCACAGTTTTTGCTGTATTTTGCCATTTTGAATCAATAGCCGAGAGTCTGAGTGCCCAAAAAAAGTAAGGCAAGTAGAATGGCTGCCTGGGGCATTTCAGTTGGAGCAACTGGCCCAATGTCAGGCAAACACTGTGTGTCAGAGATGGTAAATTCACTTCTCCTAGGCAGTATTTGTCTGCTTTAATTTCAAAATCATCCTTCGTTTTCTGAAACTCCTGGAAGTCCAGTGCCTCACAACCTCTGGATGAAATTCAGTGCTCAGACCAAAGTATTTTTGCAAGCAGTGCAAAGTCATCTGAAGAAAAGTGCTCCTCTTCATCAGGTAAGTTTGTGTTCTCTGAGATAAACAGAACATGACTCAGAAGCTAGAAAGAGTGTTTGAGCACATGTTTCAGAAACTGAAAAAAGGTGGTGGGTATAACTAAATATAGCTGTTCCTGATTGTTGAAATATTAACTCAGCATCTTAAGCATTCCCCTAAAATAGATGACAAGGGCACGGAGGGGGAATGGCTTTGAGCTGAAAGAGGGTAGGTTTAGATTAGATAGTGGGAAGAAATTGTTCGTTGTGAGGGTGGTGAGGTACATGGACACATTGCCCAGAGAAGCTGTGGATGCCCTGTTCCTGGAAATGCTCAAGGCCAAGTTGGATGGAGATTTGAGCAACTCAGTCTAGTGGAAGGTGTCCCTGCTCACCACAGGGGGGTTGGACTAGATGAGCTCTAAAAGGTCACTTCCAACTCAAATTCTATGTTCTATGAAATGACAGAAACACTCATGGAGTAATTGATGATAAAAAATCTCCATCACAAAAGACTAATCTTTAAAAAAATCATGGGTACTGAGTCAATAAACTGAGGATCATTGTGATAACAGAGAAAATATTTTTTTCCAGTAGCTTGAGACTTTCTATAGAACGTGTTGGTGGTAGCAGTCTTGAAGGTAGATACCAACAATAAAATGTTGCTCTCTTTCAAAACCACTGTTTTGAAATCAGAACGCATGGTTGTATTTCTGAAGGACTACTACCCGTTAGTCAAAAATACTTTTATAAAAATAGTTAATTTGCTCAGATGAAATGGCTTCAATTTCTGTTTGTCTCTCACTGTTTAAGAAGCCACAGATACTCACAGGTATTAAACTTGCCTTTTTAGGTTCCCCTGATGAAGAGCAGGAACAATGTACAACTCAGTCCAGAAAAACTTGAACTACATCTGTCTGCTTTATTTTTGTGTATTTCCATATCTAAGAACTGTCATTCAGTGAGTAATATCAGCCTAGTGTTAAAATATTTTTTAGGATGAATCATAATGGATTGCCTTTGTATTTATTATTTGACATGTGAAAAGTATATTATTTCTCCTTCACGTGAAAGTAGGTTTGTTAAAACATTGTTAAATGTTAAATTGTTAAATCACACACTCCAACATCCTGTGCCATATGTGATTTTTTTGTACTTCCCAGATGCCTTAGACTAGGGGAATATTTTCCCCACTTGTCTCACACTTTCATCCTTTGAAGTTCAGTCATAACTATTTGATTTGGAAAAAGTTGGCACTAACAGGGTTGATCTTCACAAAAATAAGTGAAAATAGAGCAAGAGAGGAACTCTCTCATCACCTTGTCCTTTGTTATTTACTGACAGCAGAGGCATTTTAAGTCATGTACAAACATAGCCCTGTATACACACCCTGCTTTGCTGAGCATGATAATGGAATAATGGATAGTGGAATGCAGCACAAACCTATTTCATATTGATTTTAACTGATTTAAACTGAATATTTTGTTATCAGTATTTCATTGAAAGAGTGATATATATTATTTATCCTGTAAATAAGTCCTTAAATATTTGCCACCAAATATCTGTTACTCTCCTCCAGATTCAAAACCTTGTGAGCCATGAATCTTAAGAGCTGTGTTACTAATTGCTTTGCAGATTTGTGGGCAGGCATCATTGGGAAATATGAACAAGTTCGATTTTAATGAGTTCTCGATTGCTTTTGATTCTGGGATGCAACTAAAGGTTATTTACTGCAGTATTAGGCAAAGAAAAGGCAAAAGCTCTGTCAGCTTTTCATTCTTTAAGAAGATGTGACACGGTCTTATCTTTGCTAGGAGAGGCAGGAGATAGGTCTTGCTTTCGAAAGGAAGAATGTCTGCCCTGCAGCCATAGAAATATTTTTCTGTTTCTCTTCACCACCTGCTGAAGTGATTGATATTTGCCTGAAGGATTTGCAGTTATTTGTAGTACTTTTGTTTAACTGCACCAGGATACTTTGCCAGGAAGTGGAATATTCTTCCCTCAGCAGTACCTCAATTAAATATGCAGGAAAAGATTTTGTTGTATAAGAGAGAAGCATGGACAGGAATGTTCCTGCCTCAGATTGATAACGAACTGTTCTCAAGTTCATGGAATATCAAATCCTAAGATGTTTCTATCCTGATTGAATGCCTAAAATAGCATTAAACTAATCAAGTTTAGTTATAATTGAATAATAATTGTACTGCATCAGATGTCAGTCAGTCAATAGAGAATTAGTTTTTTATACTTTCTTTGGTTAAACTAGCATCCCAGGTATAATAAATCCAGTCGCTTCGAAGAGAAGGGAAATCATGACTACCCTGGTGTCCTGGGGTGACTTTACGACGCTGAATTGTATCCCCATTCGTCTGTTTAGCCCAGAAATAAGCTCTGCACCTTTAAAACTAGATCTGAGAGTGAAGTGGGGGAGAAGGAAAGGCGGCGGGATTTTTTCGCGGCTGTGTTCGAAAATAAAGATAAGAGCTTCAGCTGGGTCTCGGTGTGTTGTCTGCAGCACGGACAGCGGGAGAGAGCTCTCCTTTGCTTTTAGTTAGCCTTTTTAGCTGGCTGAGGCAGAGCAGTTCCCCGGACTGTGACTTTTCTTTTTCTTGGCACTGATCAGCCCTGCTCCGGACTGAAAAGCACCGGGAGCTCTCACCTCTGTCCCACCGGGGCCAGGACGCGGCATTTTCCAGCAGGAGGGACCGAGAGAGACTGAGCAAACTGAGCTACACTCCACGGAAAGGACTTTCTGAATTTACCATCTCTTCAGAACAGCGAGAGGTTTTATTGTGTAATATTCTTTTTTTATGCTTGTGAATACTTTGCTTGCTAAATAAACAAGCTCTTTTCCACTTT